AAAAAGAATTTGTAGAGGTTGTAATTCTATTTTTCCTCTTCCTATATTTACTCCTAAAAATTCTATATATTCTTTAAATAAAAACATTTTCTTTTTATTTATAATTAAGCCATGTCTAATAAATTCTGAAAAAAGAATTTGTAAATGACCTCTATGTTCACGTCTATTTTTACTAAATACTAAAATATCATCTATGTAAACAATAATAAATTTATTATGTTTACTAAAAATACTATCCATTTTTCTCTGAAATATACTAGGAGCATTTTTTAAACCAAATGGCATTACAAGCCATTCAAAATGTCCTTCTGGGCTAGTAAAGGCTGTCCATTCTATTGAGTCTGGATGCATCTTAACTTGCCAAAATCCTGATTTTAAATCAAACTTACTAAAAATATTACAATTTTGAATTTTATTTATTAAAACTGTTTTATCTGGTATATTATAAGCATCATCTATTGTATTATCATTTAATCTTTTATAATTAATTACCATTCTACTTTTACCTCTAATAATTTCTGAATGTTTTCTAACTATAAAAGCTGCTGATCTATGAGGACTTTCTGATTTTCTAATAACTCCTAATTTTAGTAAATCATTTATATGCATTCTAAAATCTTCCTGATCTTGATTTGTGGCTTCAATATTTTTAGTTTTAATAATATATTCTGGATTCTTAATTTTTATTTCACAAAAAACTTTATCTTTATCCCAATATTTAAGAATATTTTCTCCTAATATTTCTAATTTTTCAAGTTTACTAATCATATTTTCAATATCTTGTTCTGTTACTAATAAATCATAAATTTTTTCAATTTCTATAAAATCTAAACATATGTCTTCATAATCTTCATAGAATTCTTCTAAAAAATTTAAATTTTCTATTTCTTCATTTTCTATTAATTGACATTCTCTTTCTTTACTACACTCACATTCTTCTTTTTCTTTTTCTCTTATCCCACCACGCTTCTCAGCAAACTCTGATGGAATAATCTTATTATAAGTAGGTGCACAAAGTGTAAACTTTTGTAATTGCATATAATCTTTACTTATTATTATACTACCATTATCTTTTAGCAAGAAACTTAATCCTAAAATTAAGTTTGTATTTAAAGATAATTCTCTTACCCAAACTGAATCTTTTGGTAAAGTATATTCTGTACTTCTTCCACAATTAGTTTCAAAACTAATTTTTGCTGGTTTTAAAATATCTTGATAACTATAAAAATTACCATCCATTTGTTGGGCTTCTATAGGTTCTTTTGATTTTATTATATATTTTTCTGGTATAATTCTTTTATTAATTATACAATGACTACATCCTGAGTCTATTAAGCCTAAACAAATAAAGATACTGAAAAAATAGTAAGATATAATAGTGGAAATTATAAAGAAAAAGGCAATGTAAGTAGCATAGATTTAGAATTACTGGCAGTAAATTATGCATTAGATTCTTTTGAATTATTTATTATTTCCAAAAAAGAAATTACTCTAAGAACAGATTGTGAAGCAATTGTAAGTTTTGTTAATAAAATGAAACTAGAAAATAAAAGAAGTAATAGAAGGAGATGGTTAAATTTTATAGATAGAATTACTAATACTGGAATAATAATTAATTTTGAACATTCTATAAATTCTTTCTGTATTAAGCATTTTTTACAAGCTTCTAAAAAACAAATTTTACATTTTACTCTTAATTTTTTACTAGGATACCATTTACATATAAAACATGGTATACTGTCTGAACCTGTTTCTTTTATCCAATTATGTTTACATTCTAATTCTATATCCATATATTCTAGTTCCTCTTCTGAGTCTGATAAATTTCTAATATTTGAAAATTCTTGTATAAAATTTTCATAATCTGATTTTTCTTCTAAATTACCATAATTATGAATATCTTCTATTGATATAATACTATATACTGACTCTTTGTCTGAAATATATTCATCTATTTCTAATAAATCTTCATTAGTACATTCTACTAGAGTACTTCT